TGAGTGAGTTGGGTTTAACGCCACTTTTAACAGTATTCCAGTTATACCACGGCGTGCCAGCTTAATGTGGGAGGAAGGCCCGATGTGATGCAGGTCTCAGACGTTTACCACTTCGGTGAAACCCACGAGCACGGGTATGGTGCTGACAAACCTAGAAACATAATCGGGGCGAACCGGGATTCGAACCCACAATCATAGGTTTCTGGGGGGGGGGGGGGGCCAAAGGGACGCAATTCTGCACAGCGAATCTTGGCGCCTTAGACAACTGGGCCACCCGTGCCCTCTTGTCGTTATGTAGTCTCAGTGACTTAGGATTCTATCAATTGTATACATAAATCTATTCAGTTGTATATATATTAAGAATGTACCAACTGCTGTAGAATCAGCAACACATACAAGTCAAGGATTTCGTTTCACGAAGGATGCGAGTGTGAATACTCAATTGTGTTGACGCCATTCTTAACGGTGATTTGAACTGTATTTAAGTTACATCACGGAGACTCACTCAATGTTGGAGGGTGGCCCGAAGTGATGCAGGCTTAAATGTACCCCAATTGATGAAGCCGCAGAGCATGGTGCTGATAACCCATTGCTGATAAACCAATTATCATGGTCAGGGGGAATCTTGGACATCTAAAGAACGCAACTGTGTACAACGAACTGCGACATCCGCGACAACGTGGCTGATCGTGCTTCCTTTATAATGTATAAAGAACAAAGATAATACGACCCGTGAAGATCCGGGTTGGAACTGACATTCAGTAACCCATGCTTGTCATAAGAAGCGAGTACCGGGATCGGGTGGTCAGACTTGCTGACTTGGCTGATGCAGGTCATCGTATCCCAATTGCGTGGGTCGACTCTCAGGATGTCAATCACTGGATTGTCTGGTCCAGACTCGATTATGTGGACCGCCGTCATAAAGTTGGAATATTGATGAGAGCGGTGTTGAACAACAAACAAATAAGGAAACCGAAAAGCTCGTACAACTCGAACAACTCGTACAACTCGTACAACTCGAATAGCTCGAACAACTCGAACAACTCGTACAACTCGAACAACTCGTACAACTCGAACAACGTACAACTCGAACAGCTCGAACAACTCGAACGACTCGTACAACTCATACAAATCGAACAGCTATAACTCGTGCAATTCGAACAACAACAGCTGTTAAGCGAGCGGTGTTGAACAACACACAAATAAGGAAACCGAAAAACTCGTACAACTCGTATAACTCGAACAACTCGAACAACTCGTACAACTCGAATAGCTCGAACAACTCGAACAACTCGTACAACTCGAACAACTCGTGCAACTCAAACAACTTACAACTCGAACAACTCGAACAACTCGTACAACTCATACAAATCGAACAGCTATAACTCGTGCAACTCGAACAACAACAGCTGTTAAGCGAGGTTTGACATGAAAACATTACAGTTTATCAGCAGCATCTATCAACAAGCCGGTACCCCGCTCCATCCACAACCACATAGTAACATGCATGAAATTAAAATCTAATAATAAATACCTTGAACAAATGCCTTAGGTACAGTTATTATCATCGCCACGCCTAGCTAATGGAGCGTAATTGTTTGCCTCACGTTTTGCCAATACAATTATCTCTTGTAAAATATGCGCGTTTTAAAATTGTTTAAAAAAATTTAATTGCACAACTGTATTAATTGAAATTAATGACTCATCTTCAATGTGACATCCACATGAGGTCACCTTCACAAGATGGCATCCTGACATAGGGATTAGTCACTGGATAAATGACACAGTCATCTGATCTGTCTGGCTCTTCAGCATCATGAGTTGCATCAAATAAAGAGATTAACATACTGTGTTTTTAATGTAGGACTAGGTTACCTGTAGCTTTAACCGCTGTCAATTGAATTTGGAACCAAATGCGCAGCGTGAGGTTTCAAATGTTACATTAAGTTAAACAACAAACAAACAAAGCTTGAAATATATTCTCTTTGCAGATTTCTATCGTGTTTTCTGCATGAAAATATTGCCACACATCCTTTGAATGTCGCCGTAACCGCAACATTGCATTTTGTGCTCATATAATCATTTAAATATGCCTACCGAATGACTGTAAAAGAAGTACTCCGAGGTGAGGCGGTCGTCCAATTGGCTGGTTCAATCAGAGAGGGTTTATTGTGATTTGATACCTCTGATTGACTAATCAAAATCGAGTATTTGCCAAATTCAAGGTAGAATTACCAATAACCTGTTTCTTCAGGGCCCTAGTATCATCGGGAGCGTCGGGAGCCTTCATAGTCTTGTGTATCTATATATTATCATTATAGTGAACGATGAGAGCCCAAGAAACATCGGGAAATTTGTGAGCTAGGAAAAGCTGCAGTAGGTTGGTTTGTTGTTTAACGCTGCACTCAGTAATATTCCAGCTATATGACGGCGGTCTGTAAATAATCGAGTCTGGACCAGACAATCCAGTGATTGTCTTCCTGAGCATCGATCCGCGCAATTGGGATCGATGACATGTATCAACCAAGTCAGCGAACCTGACCTCCCGATCCCATTAGTCGCCTCTTACGACAAGCATAGTCGCCTTGGGTTGCTGGGTTGTTGAAGACCTATTCTACCCCGGATCTTCGCGGGTCGAAAAGCTGCAGTAACATCGGAAATCTTGGAGCTAGGAAAGCCGTAGTTACATCGGGAGCCTCGTGAGTCCTGAGAGCCTCAGTAACGTCAGCAAATTAAGACGCCGAGAGCCTCGGTAACAAGAAGAGCCTCGGGAGCTATGAGAGCTCTGGAAGCATTGGAAACAACAAGAGCATCAGGAGCCGAAGGAGCCGAAGGAGCCGGTAGAGCCAGAGGGCCTTTGAGAGCCCTTGTTGCATCGAGAATATTTTTGTGTGTATACCGTAAAATTAGAAATAGAGGGTTCTTATTAGATAGTAATTTTGGTGAGATAAAAAAGAGGTTTGAAAAATTGTAAATTTTGTGGTTTATGCTGACCGCCTGAAATGATATAAAAGAAAGATTTGGGCGTATTATACACGAGAGATATGTTTTCGACAATTTAATTGCCCATAATTAAGGGTGCGTACCATACACGAATAAATAAGTCTTGTGTACATTGATCAATCTGAAGGGGTGCTAATTGGGATTGTTCACTAGCCAATATTAGTAAATATCGCCGTGGGCGCTTATTATGTCGAATACGGTATTGGAAATGTGTTTTTTGTAACCTAAATATGGTACAGGAAGATATAGCATGACATAGAATGATAAATATATATTGACAAATTTCGTATAACATCAATGTAAACTGAAGATATTAGATACATGTGTGGATATTTGGATTGGCATAAAACTGTATTTATAAGACTTCATGGATTATCATATTTATGGCATATTAAGAAGAAGTGATATTAATCTTCAATAACATCTAAATTGCAGCGCCAACGCAATCTAAATTGTCTATATACTAGTATTTGTTATGTAGGTATTGTTGTAGCATAGCTAGAGTTCATTTCAGTTCGAGGTGCATCAAGAATATCAGAAAGCCTGTGAACCCCTGTCACATCGGGAGCCTCAGAATCCCCTAAGATATCAGGAACATCATGAGCTACAGAATCCCAAGGATTCGTGAGTCAAGAGCCTCAAGAACCTAATGAAGGAGCCTCGGGGTCCTCAGGAGCCTCAGAAGCCTTTAGAACCACAGTAACATCGGGAGCCTAAAAAAATCAGGCCAGGTGACGCGAAGGACTTCATGTATTTGTCACGGACGAGAGACTTCATTTGTGCTTTAAACATGATCTGTTCTCCCAGTGAAGTTTATAGCAAGTTTAGTCATGTATGACCCACGTGTACACCCAGTACACCCCCTTCCCTCGCAGGGGAGATTCACTGCTTCAGACCCCAGGTTCCGGGGTGATGTTTGCCATGACTGTATGTCACTGTTGTAGCAACGCCATTTGAATTACAGAAGGTTACATAAGTCGGCAAGTTGACATTGTCATGCTGGTACAATGTGAGTGTTGTCAAGTCCCCTCCGCATGTACACTGTTGTCGGGGTTTGAGTTGAAATATGAGTGTCCATTATTTAAGTACAGTCTAAATATATTCCAGAGAGTCACGTTGGAGTGACGAAAGTAATCTTTTGTAAACAAGGTTATTTCAGTTTTATGTTTCTGTCTGGATCCTGTTCTATAGAGCGATCTCGGCGCAGTTGTGATCGTAACTCCCATAGCTTATCGTAGATTTACGACAGGCGCAGTGATACGATCCTTTTGTGGAAAGGGGCCGTGTTTGCTTTAAACAAAGCTATCTTAGGACTAAGGTGACCCTAACTCCCTAGCGTAGACTCACGACAGGCGGAGGGCGATGTTGTTTTGAACAACGACACCCTGGTGTTTGGGGATAAGGAATAAAAGATATGTTTATTTCGCTATCTCAACCACCCAGGTAAACAAAGTAGACACAATTTATGGATAACAACTTCTTTTATACTGTAAAAAAACGATGTTTTGGTATATATCCTTATAATGTTGTCAAGCAAGACTGGTATCTATACCGAAATGTCGGTTTTTACAGTATTAAAGAAGTTGTTATCTATAAATTGTGTCTACTTTGTCATCCGTAAACTTCTAGGTAATGTCTATCAAACAATTCACCCAGGTAAAGTTTATAATATATTCAGTATAATGATAATATATTGTGTATGAATGGCTATGTTTGTTTGTTGTTTAACGCCGCACTCAGCAATATTCCAGGTACATGACGGCGGTCTGTAAATAATCGAGTCTGGACCAGACAATCCAATGATTGATATCATGAGCATCGATCCACGTAATTGACCACCCGATCCCGTCAGTCGCCTCTTACGACAAGCATACTCGGCTTTTACGGCAAGCATGGGTTGCTGAAGACCTATTCTACCCCGGATATTCATGTGTCAACTTAATGCGCAGCTTTACGGGAAGAATTTATTGTGAACACTTGTCAGGGAATATGAACTATCAGGCATCATTCCCATTCATGTTCAGATGTCTGTGGGCGGCGTAGTGAAATACGTTGCCGCTTATCAGAATGAGGTCAGCTATGTCAGGATCCGCTGCCTCGTGTTCTGGATCAAAGATTCGTAACGATGATAAAGTGTTCAACGTCTTAGACAACGTCACTTTCGGCTCTTCTACATTAAGCTGGCGCACCGTGGTAACACTGTTTAACTTATATGGGCTTGAATCCCTCGCTGTTTGAATTTGGCCCAACCTTATTAATGTTTTCGTAATATTCCGTGTCTAGGTATCTGGATATGTGTGAATAAAAATACTGGGAAACGCAAAAACACCTGTGAAATTTTCCGGATAAACACAGTAACTAGTACTGTGTCTTGCACGAAACCTACACCCAGAAGAAAGTATACACGCAGGCTTGATGGTTGCTGGAAATGAAACAAACAAGAAATGGTTATTCGATGATGATTACTTTGATACGGGTATCATAGTTGCGTTTTGGTCCCTACGTTTGCAGTGTTCCGGCGGTTGTGTTCAGCCTTTTAAGGTTTTAAGAACGTTTGTAACTTTTTGGCCAAATCTAATTTTTCAAGTGTATACTTTCTTTTGCCCGACAGTTTATACAGAAATACATTCCCAAAATAGGCACGAGGAAGACGGGTTTCCCGGACTGGTGTTGTGGTGCTCTGGTGCTCTGGTGCTCTGGTGCTTTGTTGCATCGTTACACTGTTGCAAAGGCCTCATTAATAACCGGTCAGTTTATTTGTAATTTTATTTTCAACTGGATGGACAACTCATTCAAACACGCAATGCTAGACAAGACCAATCGGGCATGAGACATGTATATGCAAAACTATATCATGGTAAAAGGTATGTGGCGTGTATGAACATAATAACATATTCAACTGGTTCTGAAGACCTTCTAACGTAATAGATACTTCCAAAAGATGACTGTTTTCATAACATATATGATTGAACGTTTATCGTTCCTCGTTAAAACGGTGGTACGAAAATGAAAGAAAAATCAACATGGTGTAAAGGAATCCCGAAAGAAAGGCTGGCGCCAAGGAATATTCTGAGGTAAACATATCAGGTAGAAGGTGATCTGTTTGGAACCATTTGTGAATGACGCAAGCACCAAAGGACCAGAAGAAATGGAAGACTATATGGTCTACGTGTTGCCAATATGGCACAGACTTCCCCTAGGAGTAGATGAATCTTTGGCATCTTGGTTATGTTCCCTTGTTTGGATGTTACGTCATCTGCATCTTATGTACAGGAGTATTCATTACTGTTTATTCGCTGTTCGTTAACGGCGTGGGTCTTTACTGCGTGTTACATCAATACACGCCCACTCACATCACCTCATCACTACATGCTAATAATTATAATCTGCTATATGAATTATGATAAGCCTTGGACCATCGGAGCTTCGCCTTTTTCATGCTGCTTCGTGGGTTTCAAAACACGTCTTCGAGAACTATCGGCTATGTCTCTCAGTGGAATAGATTAATGGCGTCAGTAAACGAATCCTAAGGGTCATCCTCGACCCACAAGGTTGTATGTTTATCGCTGAATTTTGATGATATGTTCCCAAATGGCCTACTTCTCATGTTGGGTTCATTAAACTAAGTCTTCTACGTGTGGCTGTACCGATGTGGTCAACACAAGTAAGACACCTTTGCTTAATGAGTTAGTGACAATTGAGTTGTGCTGTACACCCCTCGGGGGGATGACACCAGGAACGAACTTCACATAATGTACCATATATTGGAAGTCTTTGATCAACCATTACGTCTCCGATCTACATAGTGGGTGTCTGACCATATATTGGAAGTCTCTTATCCACCATTACGTCTCCGATTATACATAGTGGGTATCTGATCATATATTGGAAGTCTCTGATCAACCATTACGTCTCCGATCATACATAGTGGTTTGCTGACCATATATTGGAAGTCTTTGATCAACCATTACGTCTCCGATCATACATAGTGGGTGTCTGACCATATATTGGAAGTCTTTGATCAACCATTACGTCTCCGATCATACATAGTGGGTATCTGACCATATATTGGAAGTCTCTGATCAACCATTACGTCTCCGATCATACATAGTGGGTGGCTGACCATATATTGGAAGTCTCTGATCAACCATTACGTCTCCGATCATACATAGTGGGTGGCTGACCATATATTGGAAGTCTCTGATCAACCATTACGTCTCCGATCATACAAAGTGGGTATCTGACCATATATTGGAAGTCTTTGATCAACCATTACGTCTCCGATCATACATAGTGGGTGGCTGACCATACATCTGAAGTCTCTAATCAACCATTACGTCTCCGATCATACATAGTAGGTGTCTGACCATATATTGGAAGTCTCTAATCAACCATTACGTCTCCGATCATACAAAGTGGGTGTCTGACCATATATTGGAAGTCTCTGATCAACCATTACGTCTCCGATCATACATAGTGGGTGTCTGACCATATATTGGAAATCTCTGATCAACCATTACGTCTCCGATCATACATAGTGGGTGTCTGACCATATATTGGAAGTCTCTGATCAACCATTACATCTCCGATCATACATAGTAGGTGTCTGACCATATATTGGAAGTCTCTGATCAACCATTACGTCTCCGATCATACATAGTGGGTATCTGACCATATATTGGAAGTCTCTGATCAACCATTACGTCTCCGATCATACATAGTGGGTGTCTGACCATATATTGGAAGTCTCTGATCAATCATTACGTCTCCGATCATACCTAGTGGGTGTCTGACCATATATTGGAAGTCTTTGATCAACCATTACGTCTCCGATCAAACATAGTAGGTGTCTGACCATATATTGGAAGTCTCTGATCAACCATTACGTCTCCGATCATACATAGTGGGTGGCTGACCATATATTGGGAGTCTCTGATCAACCATTACGTCTCCGATCTTACATAGTAGGTGGCTGACCATATATTGGAAGTCTTTGATCAACCATTACGTCTCCGATCAAACATAATAGGTGTCTGACCATATATTGGAAGTCTCTAATCAACCATTACATCTCCGATCATACAAAGTGGGTGTCTGGCCATATATTGGAAGTCTTTGATCAACCATTACGTCTCCGATCATACATAGTGGGTGTCTGACCATATATTGGAAATCTCTGATCAACCATTACGTCTCCGATCAAACATAGTAGGTGTCTGACCATATATTGGAAGTCTCTGATCAACCATTACGTCTCCGATCATACATAGTGGGTGTCTGACCATATATTGGAAGTCTTTGATCAACCATTACGTCTCCGATCATACAAAGTGGGTGTCTGACCATATATTGGAATTCTCTGATCAACCATTACGTCTCCGATCAAACATAGTAGGTGTCTGACCATATATTGGAAGTCTTTGATCAAACATAGTGGGTGTCTGACCATATATTGGAAGTCTCTGATCAAACATAGTGGGTGTCTGACCATATATTGGAAATCTCTGATCAACCATTACATTTTCGAGCATATACAATAGGTTTCTGATCATATATGGAAAGTCTTTGATTATACACGGGAGTCTCTGGTCTAAAAATTCGTAATAGATCAGCCATGACGTCACTGACTATATATTAACTGTACGCGAACATCTTCCCGTCTTCTGTGAAGCATTTGTGATCATTTATGAATTATGCATTGGATAATTACTTTCACATCAACAATAGTGTGATGTTACTGCATGGATAAAGTTATAATTGTAATGTTGAAGCTGCTCCTGGTTGTTATGATGTTGCTGGAACATGCGTGAAATGAGAGGGGAACTACGGCCCAGGTAGCTGGCTACGCAGTGTAGGCGGACGCTCAGGTTACATTACGCACATTCCTAGCTTCGTTACCTACAAAGATCATGGCCCCCTTCTGTCAGAGTGAGGCAAAATGAGCGATATCTTTCATCTCCTGTAGTTTACCGCGGGTCTCGCTCCAGTAATACCCCCCCCCCCCCCCCCCCCCCCACACTCACACACACACACCCCGACCTGCTCGAACCTTTATCTAGGTCTACATTGGACATGACACACTACGATGAACATACCCACACTACCCAATGCAAGCAGTCTGAGTTACTGGTAGTTGTAGGATAAACAGAGGGCTGTTTCTATGCTGGGGTAGATGGTTGTTTGTTCGTGTATTGGTTACGCAAACCCCCTCACATTGTCACAACATTGATTTAATGCAATATTGATATAAGTGTACGTGTGTCTATAAGTTCATCTTGTAATGTCTTTAGCAAAACGTTTGTTTTACTTTCAGGACAGGTATATTCATACGTTTGTGGACATCTTGATTAACAAAAGGAGTTTTTTATTGGTCTTATTTCGATACATATTACATACTCTTAATATTACATAGACATTACAAGGTTAGCACGTTTTACATTGGAAATAACTGTTGTACCTCTGCATTTATCACTCAGAAGAATAGCAGTTGTCACTGACTTAGAAGTAGAGTACAGACTATCAATCATTAATGACCGAGATACATCTGTTTTGCAAACAGGAAACATGTTTGTGTGTTTCATTCAATAGCGTAACCCAGGGGACATGTCCATTAAAGCGGATTGTAGAGGTGAAGGAACTTAGTCACACACTATTTATTACCCTTCCGAATGTTGACGATATCTGGCCGGGGTAGTGGAACATTTATAACTACAACAAGTAGGCGAGGCGGATGACGTCTTTGTCAACCACATGGCGGACCCATGTTGTACTGTCTGCTTCGTTCGATGCAGCGACGTTGTGTATTGGCAGTAAGAGTTACATCACTGACATGGCTGAGATTTCACATTTACAGCACAACTACACCACTTCAATGTCGTATTTGAACAACTTCAATGTCACATTTCCACCACTTTAATGTCACGAGTACATCACAGCTACGCCGAGACTACACAGACTTCAATGTCACGTTTATATCACGACTACTCCACTTCAATGTCACGTTTACATGACAACTACTCCACTTCAATGTCACACTTACATCACGACTACACCACTTCAATGTCACGTTTATATCACGACTACACCACTTCAATGTCACGTTTATATCACCACTACACCACTTCAATGTCACATTTACATCACGACGACACCACTTCAATGTCACGTTTATATCATAATT